ATTAAGAGTCTTCATCCTGTAACATTCATCATCTTTTTCTTTTGATGGATACTTCATTGATTTTAACACATTAAGCATAACTTTCTGGTCATTAACTTCTTAATTAACTCTAATTTTTGCACATTTATCATAGCTTGTTCAGTGGCAAAGAAATGTCTTCCTCAAATCATTGGTATTTTTTTATCTTCCTCAATATCTAAAACAATGAAATCCACTGGGAAGAAAATTTTTTGTACCTTCAATAGTACATCTTTTATAACCCCTTTAGGACATATAATTGATCGATCAGCTAACTGCAGGGTTACAATTGTGAGTGAATTATCCTCTAAGTCTAACCTTCTAAATATCGATAATAGCATGAGATTAATGTTAGTTCTTAAATCACATAGAGTTATTCCACAGAATCTCTTCTATCGTACATGGATTAGTAAAACTACCAAGATCTTTTAGTTTTTGAGGAAGTTTTTTCTGAATTATTGCACTGTAATCTTCACTTGGTACAACAGCCTCGTGATCTCCAAAATTTTTTTTTATTTAAAATTTATTTCATAAATTTAAGATAGATTGGCATTTGGTCCAGTGTTTCAGCAAAAGGAATGTTAATTGTTAGCTTTTTAAATATCTCCAAAAACATAGAAAATTGTTGATCCAATTTCTGCTATCTAAGTTTCTGAGGAAATGACAGTGGTGGTCTTTCTAAATTGATCTTAGTTGGAGAAGCAGGTTTTTCTATCACTTAAGGAACATTTTCTTCATATTTTTTCAGTTTCTTCATTTTCCCTCTCAACTTCAATTTCTTTTTGCACATTAGTCTCCAATTCTCTACCACTTCTCAACTTGATTGTGTTAACTTCTTTGCAGCACTTTGACTTCGTAATTTATTCCCCATCTGTAACACCACTTATTCTATAGTGAATTTTTTCTCTTTAATTTGTTGGTTAATTGTAAAGTGAGGAGGATAAAAAGGTTTATAATTAGTATGAGTTATTGAGTTTTTGGTTAATTGCATTTAAAGTCTCAAATGAAGGTTGAGAATCAATCATCTCAATGAATTTTCCTCAATCACATGAGTTGTTTGAAAAAAGTTCATTCCAAAATTGATCTAACTTCATTGATATCGCAACAACTTGAGATTCCAAAATAGAAATTGCATCATTATCATGAACACTTACTACTTTCTTAGGATTTAGCTTTTCGGAGGGTCATTAAAAGTTGTTAGTAGTCACCTCTTATATTAATTCATAAGCTTTATCAAATGATTTTGACAAACAACAGCGTCAATAATAAATATATTAATTCATAAGCTTTATCAAATGATTTTGACAGACAACAGCGTCAATAATAAATCTAAGGGATCCTACTAACCCATTATAAAATGTTTGAATAATTAACTATTCTGACACAACATGACGTAGACACTTCCTAAGGAGTTCTTTAAATGGTTCCCAGGCTTCATATATTGACTCACATTTATATCGAGTAAAAGAGGTATTATCATTTCTAAGCTTAGATGTTTTTGAAGATGGAAAATACTTAGGAAGGAATTTCTGTGCTAAATCTTTCTAATTTTTGATAGATCTAAGTGTTAATGAATTTAACCACATCTTAGCTTTATCCCTTAAGGAAAAAAATGTCTAAAGCTAACAGCGTCGTTTGATACGTCGTCGTACTTAAATGTAGTGCACAGTTCATTAAAAACTGGCAAGGTATAAGTTTGGATTTTCAGAGGGTGTTCCCCCAAACCGATTATTTTGTACCATTTGAATTATAACAGGTTTTAATTCAACTGAGTTAGTCGCTACAGCAGGACTTTGTATGCTCAAATGAATTTATGTTGTAGGGTTTGCATAGTTCTTTAAAGGTCATTGTACATGATGATCATTTGCAACAGTTTGATTATCAATGTTATTATGTGATGAGCTCGCGCAGTTCTTTTCATTTTCTAATCTTTTTTATGGTTCATTCTAACTCATAGAATTTAGAATTTGATTAATAATTTACACACTAGGGGTACTACGCAAGTATACGCATCATTTCAAGTAATATATGATTTTCTTTTAAAACCTCAGTATCGATCCCATAGAGAAGGTGAAACTCTTTTTTATCCAAAAATCTTTTTATGACTTAGGAAAACTTTACTTAAACTTCAGACAATATATGTGACAACTACAGACAATTATTTTGTGTACCTGAAATCAGAAACACAAAATACTTTCCATTAAAGTGTAATATTCTAAATAGAGAAGGTGAAACTCTTTTTTATCCAGAAATCTTTTTTGTGTTTTTTTGTGAGTTAGGCTTTTTAGGCCATTTCATGCAACATTTCTGTATCTTTTCCATATTAATATATTTGTCTTTGGGCTTTTTCTATATATATATATATATATATATAACACATTTTAAGGTGCATCAACTCCCTCACTATTAATTTAATGTAGAAATTTTTTTATTAATTGGGACAACTATTTTTATTTTTGAAAATATATCAATAGCATTTTTAATATTCGGTGGCTTATCATTTCCTATATTTTATTGGCTGACTTCTTATTCCTCATCATCTATAATTTTGAACAAAAATTAAAACGATCTAATTAGATTCATTTAGCACTTAATCTAACAATTCATAGATTTATTCAATAAACATAATGAATTTTTTTACTATGATTAAAATCAAAATTTTTTGTATGCTACTTTTATCATGACTTGTCTTGAAAACTTGGAATACTAAAGTCGAAATAGACGGTTGGATAGTAGTAACATATTAGTCTAACAACCACAATAGTCCACAATAACAATCATCTAAACAAGAAGAGTGGCTAAACCATAAAAAAAACTTGTAAATGAGTTGGTTAGTTGATGGAAATGTTGAAGGTTTCAACTACGGAAGATTCACAAAACAATGAAGGTTGTAGATGCTAGAAAGCCCTCATTGGATCTCTAAATCAACAAGTATTTGGTGTAGCAAAGTAAAGATGTTGTGAAATTAGTGAAACAAATGAATACATGTAACAATGAGCAATAGAGTTGAACTAACATTGCCGAGATTACTATAACATTGAGCAATGGGAAGAGTTTATTTGCGTCACCCACAAGCACTATACCTCAAAGTCCTGGGAAGAAATGTGATCATGGAATCACATCAAGCACTGCGTCGTAGAGTATTATAACAAGTCTGTTATTCTCAGTGAAATGTAAAGTTTGTTAAAATCAATTTTGAAGTTGACATTGAGCATAGATAATGCGGGTGCTCGGTGTTGTGCCCAAATTCAAGCATAGTAAAGTGCTTCGACACCGGACACTGCGAACCCGAGGGGCTGAAGCCCCACGAATCATCGCGACGCGATAAACTGCAAACTCGCGAATGCGAGAGAGCAGAATAGCGTGATTGCGATCCCGCGTATGGAGCAGGGATCGGATTGCGAATCTTCACGATCCAGGGCTTCTTCATGCACCTTCCACACTTGTCTTCTTCTAGAAAAGTTTTTCTTTTGGATTTTTCTGCCCTTCTTTTTGTGTAGAAGAATGAAGCTATAAGTAGCTATCTCCTCTGAGTGTGTGAGTTAGTTCTACTTGATTTGTCTTCTAATCTCTTGTGTGGAGTCACTTCCCTCTTGTTAAGGTTGTAATTGACAACAGGTGATCCTTCGGCTATATCCTGCTTCGAGATGGTGTTGTAAACTTCAAACTTCTTGACTACTACTCACCAACCCCTTTTCCTACCAATTCCCCTAGTTATCTACCACCCTCACATTCCTCCACCACTCTACCTCTATTCCTACTTCCTCCAAGATGTCACCATTCAATCCACCTATAGCCGATCACACACAATCCCCTACCTACCCGAGAGTCGCTCACCTCGCCGATGCCACCACCATCTTTGAATCTCTTCCTATAACTATAGCTAGGGATTCATCCATTTTTTGTATTTCTCTTTTGTTTTGTTTGAGTCGTGTTGTATCACTATTTTTATATTAATAATAGTTTACTTTTTTTGTATTATGCCACATTTTAACTAGTTCCGGTATCAATAGATTTTGCTTGTCAATGTGCAAAGAAATCTCGATATTGGAATAATGTGGAGCCAATAAATCACCAAACTTGAAAATTGATGTGTGTAGAAACAAGCCAATAGGATCGAAAGGTAGCATAGCATATTTTTTTTTATGGTGTACCAATGATTTAAAGTAATCGACATTAATCGAAAGGTAGCATAGCATGAGATTGTTTATTGATGTTGATCAGTGGCAAAATCTGTTAGGACTTTTTGTTGGGCAATGAAGGCTGATGAACAATGTGGTGGTGAAGGCTGAGAATGCATTGGGTGATGAAGGTTGACACACAGATGGAGAAGCTTTGTGCTCTGAGAACATGAAGAGAACACAAGCTAGTATGAGGGAATTTTTTTATTTTACAAAGTATTTGATACAAGGCAATATATAGAGTAATCAGGAAGTGAAAAAAATAAAATTATTATTAATATATAATTTTTGTCCTTCAAATGAATCCTTGGGCTCTTGCTTTTTTTTTTCTTCTATAGATATGAATTTGTTGGATCTTTATTTGGGCAGTTTGAATTTGTGGGATCCTGATTTTCTTTCTTTGCCATTAATTTAAGGGTTCTAATAAGAAGAAGAATCATATCATATACATATTTACCTGCTAGATAAACTGCTATTAATCTAAGATACAAACTTTTACTATGACATTTCACAAATTTGAGGTCTTGCCCAATGCTTGTAAACGAGTATTCAAAGAACTAGCTTCATGCTCTTAGCAACGTCAGGCTTCTCAAATTTAGAATAAGGAAGTTTGCTCCTTTATTATCAGAGAATAGAAATGCAAGCTGCAAGCAGTATGATTTTTTGTTGATTCCACTGAATTTGGTAAAACTACTTTGCCCTTTATGCATAGTTTTCATTCCCATCTGCTCACAGATGTTGATATTTTATCTGAAATCTAGTTCTTCAGCAAAGTTCTGATTTTTGTGTAAAATGTTGCAGAAAGCTCAGTTTTTTGAGGGCTGGTTCAAGTTTCTTTGCTCATCTTTATTAGAAAGCCAAAATCAACCATCTGCGGGCATGGTTACATCCACCGGGGAGCCTGCTGATGAGTCTGCTCCATACTCGCCAAAGGAAATGGTGCACGTTGCACTGAAGTCCTTATACAACATTTACAAGTGCAACGAACATCATGACATTGCTGAAAGATTCAGGATATTGATTAGCAAATACTCCTGAACTTTCTTTCCCTGCTGCTGTAGTGAACTTTTCATATGTAAAGGCATTTTTTTTTTCACTCGTAAGCAAGATGATCTGAAAAGAACTTTTGTTGTGTTTCCTGATGTTTTTTGACCAACGAGGAAGAAGGCAGTTTTTGGGTTTTCTATATCTTGGTTTTTAGATACTAGTGGAGCATTCCTACATAATTTTGAACGCAATTCCACCATTGAAAAAGTAGACTAATCTTTGTCCAGTGATGCTTGAATGTATATTGTCATATTCTCATGAATGATGATGTTTGTGTCTATTTGACCGTTTAATCCCTAACAAACATGATGCATGTCTAGCGTTTGCAGTTGGGTTTTTTTTTCTTTTTTTGTTTTGTTGTGTTTTTTTCTCTTTTGTACGTGAAGTTGACTGCGAAGGTCCAAATTAAATTGGAAATGAAAGTTTTTGTACGTGAAGTTGACTGCGAAGGTCCAAATTACATTGGAAATGAAAGTTTAAGTTTACATAGTAGGATAATATGTAGCCGTGGACACCGGTCTTACTAAAAGAATATGCAAGCAGTGCTATGGTGAGTTACGTAAAAGCTTGCCATCACATCCTAGGGGTGGGTGGTTTGGAAGCGCACTGTTTTTGTGCAAGGTTCGACCTCCCTTCCAACCTTGCACCATAATCCTATAATTTAACCTCGACACACCAATAAAAGTGTTACATCAATTGGTTATTAAACTGGATGTAATTTAACTACTATAGCTTAATTTGTTATCAAATATATTCAATACTAAATATAATATAATTATTTATTATATAATAATGAAATGCAAAAGATAGTAATTTTCACAAAGTCTAACCTATAATTTATTCCTTGACCAATTTTCATTTGGTCAAGTGGTTACTAATTCAAGTAATTGTATGCAAACTGGCTGTTTTTTCAGTCTAACCTATAATTTATTCCTTGACCAATAATAGCATGAATTTAGTAAACAAATCTTTAATTGTTTGCATAGGTTAGTTTTTGTAAAAATACATGATCTTTAATTTTAAATTCAATCATTTCATGCTTATGGGCAAAATATCTCTTATAACTCTCCTAAGCTGCATGCAATCATTCTTGAATTTAATTACCCTTTTCGGTTGCTTGATCTATTAGTTGAATTTCAAATAATTTTCTCTTGCCAACCTCAAACCAACACAAGAGATCCGCACTTTCTTTTATAATGATGGTTTGTTGATCTCATTTTTCGTGAGGTCTAGTCTTCCTCTTAGGGTTTAGGATCTAGCCTTAGGGATCTCCCTTTGACTATCTTAAAACCTTAGAAATGGGACCCGCCTCATTTTAGAAATTCAACCTATTTCTGTACACTTTTGGAGTTTCGCGTATGTGGTATCGACTTCTAGCACTGAGAAGGGTGAAACCAACATGAGGAAACCCAAAAAGAATTCTTATAGGACCTTTTGAGCCTTAGGGTAGCCTTTTGCACAATTCTCACTCCCACGGGCACAAACTTTGCAATTTGGAGAGTCGACACGTCCGATCGCTACAATTCGCATCGTTTGTACCGTTACCTATCGAAGACTCGAATAAACTTTTTGAGACAATCGATAGTGGGTCAAAATTTTGTGAAATTTATTTTTGTGAAATTTATATTTTGACGAGTTTTTGACCTGATTGTCGACGATGTCGTCCGAGCGACTCCGGATGACAAAACGGACTACCCCGACCCGTCCGGAATGTCTATTTTACCTATGGAGGACACCCATTTTGTTATGACACGGTGCGCGAATAAATTGCGCATGATTTAATATATATATATATATATATTATAATAAAAATGTGAGTCATTCGTTTCCTTTTAGGGCCCGACCCTAAATCCCTAAACTCACGCACCCGGGGTCGCCTCCTCTGCTTTTTCCCCTCTCCCGTTCGCGTGCCTGGCCTTTCCCTTTCTCGGTCTCGAGCCAACCGAGCTCCTCCTCCTCCACGCGAGAGAAAGTTGACCTCTCGTTCGTCCTTGCCTGACATCCCCTGCCTGCGGCCCTCCTTCCCGAAGCCGCGCCAGCCTCCCCGAGCTGCGATTTTCCTTTTCTTGGTAGTTTGACTCTGAGAAGCTTGCTCCCTGGTACACTCGAATAGCAAGTTTCTCTTCTTCGTGATACTTCCTTCGCTGCCACTAGGCTCGCCACTTGGTCTTGGATATTTCGATTGCTTTGCCTTCTGTGAGCAGAGAATGCGTCCTTTTCTATTTTTGCCTGATTCGAGTATCGTGTGTGGGTTGGGTGATCTTCTTTCTCTTCCCCTCTCTTCTCTGCCTATAAACAGAGTTTTCTTTTGGGTTTTGTGGTGGTTGAAAAGTTTTCTAAGGAGAGGAGAGGTAGAGATTTTGGCTGTGAGAGGAGTTTAGGAGGGAGATTTTCTGTGAGAGCATCTCTTTGAAGTTATTTTTTGTGTTGCAGTGCTTTACATTTGCAAAAAGAAGGTACCTCTTCTTCTCCTCCCCTTCCTCAGTGCCTTGCTTACTTGAGGTTTTTTTTCTCCTCGAGCCTCCTCTTGCTCGGTTAAGTGAATAGTGCAACATGCTTATATGATATCACACTTATATTTTCTTTGAAATACTTGGTACTCAAGCATTTAGAAATGGAAATGTGAGCATGTGTTAGGAATTAGACTTGGATATTTGCTTAAAATGGTGGAGATATGACATGTTTTCTGTTTATCGTATCATATTTATGTTGGTAGCGATTTGGATAATTAAAGCATGGCTTTAGAACAATTTTACTCTTGTTGCAAGCATGCTAGAATAGGGAGATTATTGCTTGTCTCATTCCTAAATATGTTCTTACTCATTATTTATACATTCGTTATATGGGAATGGCATTTAAAGGCTAGAAGATATATATTTCCTTCTCCCCTCCCCTTCCTCAGTGCCTTGCTTAGTTGCGGTTTTTTTTTTCTCTTCGTCGAGCCTCTCTTGCTCGGCTCAGTGGATAGTACAGCATGCTAGTGTAGTTTGTTTTCTTGTATTTTGAGATATTCAGCTTGCTAGTTTACTTTACTTTCATGTATTTCAAGATATTCACTTTACGAGCATGTGGTAGTTCTATTTTGCGAGGTTTTAAAGGCATGAGGATATTTCTCTAACTTTCATTGTGGCTTAGTATTGGAAGTCTTAGTTGCAGCTTGGTTTTTAACCTTCATTTGGCTCGGTTTTGGCTTGGTTTGGAGGCTCGGTTTTGACTTGAAATGGTTAGAACTTTAATTTTTATGGAAGCCTGGATTTTAATATTGCTGGACTCGGTTTTGGTCCTTGTTGGGCTCGGTTTTGGCCCCTGCTGGGATCGGTTTTGGCATCCTATGGGTGTTTTGGCTTAAATATACATATGGTGAAGGAATTTATGTTGATTTGGAAGAACTCCATAGCTATTCTTGTGTAAAACATATGGTAGTTCTATTTTTTTTTATGTCCTGAGGGTATGGAAATGTTTCTATTCTTTTTTTGTAACCCGAATTCGAACCTTAGCTGTGGCTCGGTCTTGGCTTGACTTGGGAGCTTGGTTTGCTTGTTTTAGCTCCTACTCAAGAGCCCATGATTGATTCTGGCTACGGGTGTTTTGGCTTAAATATACATATACTGAAGGAATTTATTTTGGAGGAACTCCATGACTGTTCTTGTTTAAAACATATGTTAGTTTTATATTTTGATGTCTTGAGGATATGGAAATGTTTTCTACCCTTTTGTTGTAACCTGAGTTTGAACTCAATCTGTGGCTCTGTTTGGCTTTAGTTGGGAGTTCGATTTGCTTTGTTTGGTCACCTACCCGAAAGGTGGTTTTGCTGGCTTTAGTTCCTACCCGAGAAATGGCTTAGTTTCTTTTGATTTTTGTTGGTCTCGGCTCTTACCCGAGAGCCTGTTTTGGGAGTGCTGTGTTGTCTCCATTCAAAAGATGTTATCTGGTTTTGATGGATTCGGCTCGAATGTTATTGATGAATCAAGTTTGTCATCCTCAAAATTATAATCACTTTAGTTATCCTCTTATGTTTGTCAGGGAAGCATAGTAGCCATTGGTGGTTCTTTTCTAGGTCCTTTGTTGCCTTAGCGCTTGAGCCTCACTCGTTGTCCCTTGGGTTGCCTTTGGTCATAGGTCTTGGCAGCTGTCTTTTGCCTTAGCCGTGAGCCTCATTTGCCCCTATTCCTTGTCTTAGCCGAGAGCCTTGATGCTTGCTTTCTCTTCTCTATTGGCCCCGGCCCTGAGCATTTATTTAGATTCTATGGAAAAATTTTATGCTTATTCGATACGCGAGACTATTTATTAATTTGAAAGTTGGGGGAATTTTGATTTTGGCATGAGTTTGGAAATATTAATGGTGGTTTCCCCAAGATCATTTTCTTTTTAAGTTTGGGAGATCTTAAACCCTATTTTGGAAAGGCATTTAGTTGGGATGAATTAAATTCATAAAAGATGTCGTTGGGGTTTGGATACCGGTGTTAGGAGGTCATTTTGACTTGGGTTGGTCCAATTCTAAAAGTGAGAAAGTGATATCCATCTCGAATTGATTCAAGGATCTTCAGGTCTTCCTTTTCAAGTCTTTTTGTCACAAGCTTTAAGGACTGATCCATTTTCCTTTTCCGTATTTTAGATGGATCGCTGCCTCCTCTCTCTCACCCCATTTTTGTTCTTTTCTTTCCTTGCTTCTTGGTTCGTTCTTTTGATGTTTATGTCCGATACATAAGTGTCCACATATAGCCTTTTGCTATACATGAAACCATCAAGTAAGGTCGCAAGTAGTCGTTTTGGGGTGTATGGTGGTGATGATAAAGGCACACCGAAGATAGAGCAGAAAGATGCCCTATCCTATAACATCAAGATCCAGGTATTTGATGAATAATAGGATAATGGTATCCTTCACCTACATAAGTCTAGCGGGAGTTGGCTTGAACTTCCTCAGGTTGTTGGTAGTCCCATGCCCGACAGTGTAATCGACTCGTGGACCAAAAATTTCTTAAAAAATATAATATAAGTTTTTATAAACCCTTTTTAAGCAAAAACATACTTTTCTACGAAACAAAAATTGATAACTCTTCTTTGCATGTTTAAAATTTTTATGCATGATTAAAACATAAAACAAAGTTTAAAGTTGGTTCTCCACCTGACGAATACCTGTTTAGGCTGGGAAATAGCCCTCTAAGTGAGGTTCAAGACACACTTCTAGTTGAGTGGCGGGTTCTATATATTCGGGTGACGGAGTAGCCTTCGTGGACCCTCGGGTATAAATATATATATGAGCCTAGCCCCATACGAGTGCTTCCCCCTCACCTGAAATTTTTTTT